ATGATATATTGTAAACTCCTAGCCGAATTTGTATGATGAGCGAGGAAACTCCTGGAGTGAACTGGGGAAAGCAAACGTATATTTTAATAGGACGTTGAGCGATCGAGTGGGAGTAAGTACGGTTATGGTCATTGGTGGGTCGGGAGACTACTTCCATGTGGCTGATACTGTCGTGTAAGATGGAAGGTGTTGGTGGTATGATGATAAAGATGTGCGTGTATAGGATGATGGACCAGTATGTGCCTTATGATGTGACTAGTCGAGCCAAGCAGATCGCGGCTGATGATGATGTGCATCTTACTATCCCGGAAGTTGATGAGAATATCTTTACGGGCCTTCGTGGGAGGTGCCTCGATCCTCATACATTACGAGCTGATGGTAGGGAGGAGGTCTGTAGTGGGAAAATGGGCATATGGTCAACTACGTGTGTTGGTGATAATATGAAAATTTTCATTTGTTCGTGTACACTTCTACCTAATTCTACCCGTATTTGAACTCCTATGACTAGTGAGGAAACTCCTGAGCTCAGGTGAGGGAAGCGGAGATATATTCCTACTCCAACACTACTGAGGCGTCGGAGTTTATTGTTGTGGAATTGTGATTCTCAATGAGTTGAATAACTTTATTGTATATCTGTATCAGGCAAAGTACAGTCGAAATCATTGCGATGTATTTCCTATGGATGGACGGAGATTGAGCTCACCAACGTGGAACAGCTTGTGGAGACGGGCCAGGCTAGGGCTATTGCTGATGCTATACAGACACTAGCTGAGAAGGATTACACTAGAGGAAGGAGGTAGGTCGTCGGGTAGAGCTGCAAGGGAGGCCGCATTCCCATACGTGTATTACATTATTACGTGTTAAACCATTACCGGGGGGGGGTGTATTTGGATGGGTCTGATGTGTCTGAGCTCCACTTGCATAAGAGTGTACCCAACGAGAGGAGCAATCTTATTGGTAACCACTTGTCGAGCACTCTAGCAATATGGCGGCAGGCATTTTATGATCGTGATTTTCATTCCCGTAGGTTGTCTGACGTTCTTGATCGGTTTTACGAGGAGATTCATCGACATGCCTATCCAACAGGTCGAGGAGATGAGTGAGAGGAGGCTGTGGTAGGGGGGAGGGTGGAGTACTCGTTGTAGGTATAAGACGGGCCTCGATGCAGTGCAGAGGGCTAGTTATCCCGCTGGGTACTATTCGTATCCTCGGAAGCTTGAGTTGGCAGCAGCAATCAAGTAAGCTTGGCTTAGATGATACTGCTTGTTTGAAATAGAGCTTTGTTGACGTTGGGGTGGTATGTTATTATGTGTCTCCCTTCATATCTCTCGTATAGGGTGTCGGTTGAGCATCCGATCATGTGATGTTCTCCTTATTTAGTCGGCTACGGAAGATGAAGATATACTCTGTCCAGTGAGTTTCCAAGGAGGCTTCACAACCTCGATCACTGTTGCGTTGGGAGTCTTCACGTCCCTGGTGTTTCATCTTCTCGCGGCACGAGAAATATGGTCGAGTGTGATCTGAGTTTGCTCGGCAGGCAGATTATTGAGGCTTCGATGAAATCAAAACACACAGGTCACGATTCTCTCTCTCCAGGCGAGCAGGCGTAATTTAGGATTGGTTTAGCAAGCCGCTGGAAAGAGGCAACGGCATTGTGTGAAGAGTCGTTGCTAACGACAGTACGCCCGCTATCGAACTTATTGGAGGGGTAAATCGAAGGAGGGGTTATTGTATGTTTCTATTAGGTTGATTTTACACCCTCGATTGAGTGGTGTTGTTAGCTCCTATCTTGTCTGCTACTGCCTCCTCTGTCGCCCACCAAGAACCTAGAATCTACTACCACCACCACGACGACGACTACTACGTTAACGATAACAATTGCTTGCTTTACCTGTTAGAAATGAACCCTGAACACCACCATAACGATCTCGGCTATAAGAATACCTCCACTAGCTCTGGATGGTCCCATCTAGTGCCTAACGTCGTCAACTGCCTATCTCGAGATTATTACTATAATAAAAAGAGCGCATCTGATACCCCACAGGACCGCCGAGTGGAGAGGAAGACGCCATCGGCGGGGATTGAAGTCCTAAAGACTACTGTGAGTGCGGCTGAGCAGCGGATGGAAGATCGGCAACGAGCAGAGGACTTCCTTCTCTTCATGGGTGGGGAAAATGCTGCTTGTTGGCAGTGTCGAGTTTGATGGCTATTTAGATAAGGCGGAGGCCCCACAGTTAGCGCCCTCTCCTCTTCTGTCGCAGTCAACGCTAACTACGGTGACGTATTCAGCTGAGACCTATCATAACGATGAGGAAAAGTATCTACTAGAGTGTCGAATTTGGTGGATGGGGTCACTCTTAGACCATGCCTTACTAAGAAGGAGAGAAAGCCACAACTGCCTTTGCCGTCCCCAGCTCCTCTTCCACCGAGTCGATCGGCGATACCTCGCGCCTTCAAGGAGAGGAGTCTCGATGTTGGAGAGAGGCAGCCTGTTGTTGTTGGCCCCCTTGTTACTGTTTGTTCTGATGAGGGTGATGACGTTATCGGTAGGGATGCTGGGTTTAGTGTCATTGCATCATGCAGTGGAATTGAAGCAAGCCATTTGCATGGACAGACGTTAGCTGTTCGTACAGGTCAAACGCTATGTGCGATCCCTCCCTTTTTGAAAGGCCATTCTGTTGCTATCCGAATCACAGTGGACGACTTCACCAAGATAAACAGAGGAAAGGATACTCCGTTGAGTATCTGTGTCGGTCTCACTACAGGTTGGTCCCTGGTTCGATCCCTGGTAGCGTCATTCTTATGCCAGGACCTCAGCTTTACCGAGAACGGGGCATGGTGGTAAGCTTCTGCTCCTCTCATAGCGAGATCAAACATACGCGTCCGAGAGAGGTATCTGCCAATACCGTGAATCCCCAGTCTCTCGAACTTGAAGCCGCAGTCATTAGCGAATCTCGGGTAAGTCCGATGTGGTATTCGAGGCGAGCTATGGTCCTCCGTATGTCATCCCAGGTACGGTTCCATGGAGAACGACATTTCTGGATCATATGGGGGGAGGGCCTGCTTTTCGCTGTAGGGCTGGCTGGGTGAGAGACTTCGAATGGACCTCTCAGGTCTCGGCGAGAAGTCGGTTCACGTCTGCTGTTGGCGGCTGATACTGCTAGCTCTGAGTACACGTTTGGGTATGGCGCTGGTGC